GTTTATGGAATTCTGCTCAGCTGATAATCAATTTATCAGCACATTTTTAAAACATAAGTCTCTTATTTTACCCCATAAATGAGCATTATAATGACTAATTAAGGGACTCAGTAAATACATTTAAATAAATCGATGACATTGTGTTTAAATGATCTTAATGGCGGCTGCAGACTTTTTCAGTGGTCAATAACAAGATTATATTACAAATAATTATTTGTAAAGTTTGTCAACGTTAGTTTGTTGCTGAGTGGAGGCTGTGACTTTTAATGATATAAAGAAACCCATCAAATCTCGCAAAATTCAAAACGAAACTATTAAATCGGACATTCCCCCTACAATCGCAGTGATAGATGATATTAACATCTATCACAGATTATAATCAAGTAAAACTATAACCCCAATTCAGGTCCACCACCACAACCATAGAGAAGTCTGACTGTATTTCATCTCCATGCAGTCTTGATCACAGATAGGACATACTCTACTCTATGATAGTGCCTTTAGGATGTAAGTTTTTAGGATGCAGAGGTGCACAAGGTGTGGTTTTGGCTTTGATTATATAAAGGGCCACTTCAGCACCCAGGCGCTGTGTGATGGGGCTGAGCCAATGACGCGGCCCATAGCAATCCTGCACTGCTGACCTCGCGAAACTGGCATAGGAACAAACGCTTGGGCTTTAGTTTGTGTGTGAGCGAACACACACACTCTTCCCTTATGGTCTTGCCGACGTATCATCTAATACTAGGAAACATATCAAAAGTATCACCACTTGTAGTTGGGATCTATGGGATGCTCGAGTTACATTCGAGAGACTAATGCAGAGTACATGATCATCGGGCCAACCATGCCCCGGCACAGTGCAGGGATATAGGGGCTTAATCACTTGTGGGAGACACATGGCGTGACTTGATCACTATGACGCAATCACATGTATATAAAGAGATTACAAAGTGTAACTTTAGCTGCCATTTTGAGTTCAGGTTCTGCTACAGTGTCCACAATCTACAGATGACTCTGATTGGTTCCGTCAGCTGAACTGAAGGATGGGCAATATGCAATATGCTTGTTGTGTCCTCGTAATCTGCCCTCGTCTATAAGGTCAAAACATGGAGAGAGAAAGTCTTTTTTGACAATCCCTTCTCTTTTGAGTGGACTACACGCAAACACGTGCCCATTGGGCTACGTAAGGAGATCTTATTCAATGTCCCCTGAAATTTCACATCATCTAGGGGCTAATCTTCCCTTTTGGGTTTACTATTATCCTCCAGGCAACAAACTAACCACAGGTAGTAGTAAATAAGTAATGTTTATTTATACAGTGATTTTTACAGACCAAGATCACCCAAAGCGCTTTACGATGTTCAGAAATCAGATATCGTTGCAATCACTCCACACCCGGTGACGACGGAAGCGAGTCACCGAACACACTGGTGCATCAAAGCCCCCAAACAACACCATCCATTCACTCACTCAATACATTCATACCTATTGTGCATGTTTTTTAGTTTTCAGGTAATAGTTATGTTAATGGTAAGGCACTATTTCAATATGTATGAATAGTCTCCCCCCATATTGAGAAGTAATGGTTTGATTTTTTAGAATGTACTTTTATACCAAATTATCTATTGTTTTCTTAGTGGAAAGTTTGTTTCAAGATCATATTTATTTGTTTAATAAGTTGCATGATGGAGGTATTTTGACCAAAGGAAAAACCTTTTATTTGATAAGAGTTTGGAAATTCTCCTCTGGAAGATTTTTCATAGTTTATCAGTTATGTAAACTGAGAGAGCATTTTTATTGAACTTTTGCGTTTTTGGGTCAGTGTTTAGAATTAAATAAATTATGGAAAACAAAATGAAAGACTAAGGCACTCAAAAAAGAATATTTAAACACCATCCATCCATCCATCCATTTTCTACCCTTTAATCCATTTCTGGGTCAGGGGGGTGGCAGTCAGAGATGCCACCCAAGTCTCATAGCACCAGCCCCTCACTGACCCTCTGCAGGTGGTGAGTCCACAGGAGGACGGCTGCTCTCTGAGTGTGAGCATAGCCTTGATCTTTCAGTGGGGGCTTTGGGCAAAGTGGGGTTAAGTGTCTTGCCCAAGGACACAACGACAGCAGTCATCAGTGGGAGTCGATGGAGAAGGTGCAGAGGTGGGAATTGAACCCACGACCTTCTAGCCTTAAGGCCAATGCTCTACCAACTGAGCTACTGTCGCCCCATATTTAAACACATTTATTACCAAATGGAAATTGGTGTTAAAAAGCCAACGCGTTTCAAGACTGGGATCTTCATCAGGGCATTCCTCTCGAGAGGGCTGCTTCTGTGAAGCTTTATGAAAATTTCCATACTTGCACCATGAACCTCCCGAATATTAGTGGAAGAGATAAATTTTGGACGGCTCTGGTCCAAAATGTGTAGGTGCACAGTAATTGTATGAGCCCACACAGAGGGACATGCAAGGGCTCAGTGCACCGATGATCAGAGCGGAGAGAGTTTAGAGTTTGTTGCACTAAAGTGTTTATCTATGGAAAATCAATGGATTTCAAAATAAAAAAGCTGTAGGCTTTATCCTACGAGCAGATTTTGTTAACATTGAGGTCTATGGGAAAATGTCTGAAACATCCCATGGGAATTTAAGCTGCAATGCCCCGGGTGGTCCCTTTTCTACGCTGGAGACAGATTTAAGCTACCCCAGATTTAAGAAAAGGGTATTTAATACTTTTTTTGCAGTTTTATGCCTATTGGCAGAGGTAACATTTTGCAGGTGGGAGGGGCAGGGTCACCTGGTATGTGGGGAAAAGACAAAGAAACAATTCATAAATAGACATACATTATGTGATGCTGTACATGCCATCAACATAGGCATGATCCATACACAACATCTTCAAAAGACAATGGGCCTAATAGGGCCATTGTGTTTTTAACTTTTTAAGTTGATCCAGCTCCTCCCACCGGCAATATGTGACCTCTTTTATCTTGAGAATTAAATGTAGTGGCTTAAAAATGTGTATAAAATGCCATGATGGCTCATGACCATCAATGCTTGCATCATTGCTCTATTGTGTCATTTACTCATAATATATCAAAATGACATTCATTGTAGTCATTATTGTGGTGAAGTACAAGGAAACAAATCTCACAGCCTTTAATCACTTTACAAAAAAGGCATTGTATCTAATGTCCACAATAGACCTGCTGCTCATGAAATTTAAATAATGTTAAAAGTTCTCAAAAATGTTCAGAGAAAATCGATGTCACTGAATATAGAAAACTTATTCTATTATAGAAGCTTGCTATCAGTAAATTACTAAACAACTACAAAAATGTAAAGGGAAGTGTGTATATGTGTGTGTTGTATTATACCTGTATTGACTGAATTGTTATTATTGACGTTTTTACTAGAAATCTGCTTGTTGAAGGTTTGGATATTTGAAGCGTTTATTTTATACAAGCTCTTATCAAAACTGTTATTATGTATACAGGTTATGAAATAAACTAAAAATGGACAATACATGAGAATTTGGAGGTTACTATAAAAGGTTTGATTGAACAGATTCAGGGGCCTTGGTAATGCAATAAAGCTACTTTTTAGGCCTGCCCCAATACCAGTTTTTACCAGCACAAAAGACTTCTTGAGCACTTTTCAATGCCAATACCAGACATTTGGAAAGAGCTTGTAAATCTGGTTTGAAGGTTTGATTTAGGTGATTAGCACATCTTTTTGGAAAGTTGAGTTGAATAATATGATCCACTCTGCTCAGTGACTTTGAAATGTGGACCAACACCAGCAGTCAATACGAGCCCCTTGATAATGGTATCATCTATGCACCTCCTTAGCTTCCACCACTACTACTATTACTAGAAAAAACCAGAACATGATTATAACCCATATTATGAAATGTAGACTATAAGAAGGCAGTGACACTAGGGGTGGGCAAAATATATCGTAGAAAATAATATTGTGAAAGTCAATTTGAAGATATGCTTTTTTGTATTATCGTCTTTTTTATTATTCAATACATATTACAATTAGAGAAGGAAAGATGGCCTTTTGGTCTAATGTGTGCCTAAAAAGCAAATCACTGCTTTATTTGTACATTTCAGTAAATATTGAGCCTTTTTGGATGTGTTTTTTCTGTGTTACTTGAATTGGATTTTTAATGTTAATATATTTTTTGCAAGTTTAGCAAAGATGTGTGAAGCACTTTACAAATAAAAAGCTTCTATTTTGATCTATCGAAGTATCTATACATGCCCTGGAAGCAAAACCTTACAGATCATTGCGTATAAAAATTATTGATTTTAAAGATATCGTGACAATATCGTTATCAGGAGTTGGAAAAAAAGTATCCAGATATTTATTTTTGTCCATATCGCCCACCCCTAAGTGACACCGCTCTGGCCTTAAGGTCATCAGTGGGATTGACGTCTTTGTTTAGACACTGCTAACGGGATGAGGATTAAGTAACTTAGACGTTCAGGTCTGTCAGCTTCAGGTTTTATGATGCAGGGGAACTAAGGTCAAAATGTTTACATTAACACTAACAGCATTAACTTGAATAATTACCTCAGCCAGGGAGAAATGTAATCACCAGAGTTTGTTTGTCTGTTTTTAACAAAATAAAAAGGATGGCAGGATATTTACAAGGTTTTCAGTTGGGAAAGAGAAAAGGAATTATTATATTCAGCAGGTGAACTGATCACTGTCTGGATCCAGGACTTTTTAAAAAGGAAATGTAATGCACCTCGTGGCATATTTGTATATTCCTTATTAGTTCTATGACTATTTTCTATATGGTTAAGCGAGAATGCACAGAATGACACCATCTACACAAGCATCTACTAATGTCTTTTATTGTTATAAGATTATCTATTCTTACACAAATGCTGAATATGTGCAAGCTGTTTGTTGTCAATGTTTTCAACAGGTCACAATTATATAATGTTTTCTTGTATAAATAATAATCATAGTTTATTCTGATTATTCCCCACAGTAACACGAACTCCAAACAGGCCACACGTATCACATCACGTAAGTACCAATCCTGACAGCAGCCCTGATTCCATCACCACTGCAGAGATAAATTCCTATATACTGTGATGTGTTGAGGGATGTGGCGTATGCACATTATAATTATACTTATGTGAACCGTGCGGCACAGACAGACCTAAATTGACTGTGTGTATACACCTCAGTGCTCTGGCCCTGCTCTATTTCCAGGTTCTTGCGTCATCCCTGTGACTCATCAGCACTTTATTTCACAGTTACGCTAGTACATCTTCTCCTTTTACAAATAGATGATCGTGATTCCCACCATATGATTCACAATGGTCTATTTTTGATCTGCTAAATAATGATGTCTTCAAAGTTCAGAGTCAGAATTAATGCAATCGGGATTTCTCCACTAAAAAACTGTAAAAGGAAGTTCTTAATAGAACTACCATATGGTAGTTAAAACCAAACATATAGAACATTTACAAAACATTATAATTTTCAAAAATCCTAAATAAATACATTTCACAATAGGCAAAGTGGTTTGATATTTTAGTTTTTCATAAAACATTCCACAGTGTGAACTACATTATTAATAGACGACATTTCTGTGTTTTCTGCAAGACTCATGCCACTTTGTATGAAAGCAAAGAAGATGATGCAATAATAATGAACCGTGTGTTTTTAGTTCAAGATGGCGAGGTCGGCTTACAAAGTGAAGAAGTCATTTTGACGCCTGAGGAAGAAAATCCACTCAGGAGAATATTGCAGGTCGGTACATACTCCATTTGCCCTCTTTAATGTCTACACCATCAGCTGTCTTCATCTTGGTCTATTTATGCACATATAAGCACCATGTTCGCCGCTCGCACATACACCCCCACACACGCACTCATATACACACACACCCACTCGTGCACACGCATATTAGCTTCGTTTTTACACTAATTTACATGAATTTCATAGAAACCTATTTAATAATAATACAATTACAACTTATGTGACAGGAACCTGATGAATTGTCACATTAGGGAATTATGAGTGTTTGGACAGAGTTAGTCCTGACTATGGTCTCTTAAATGCAAGAATCCAATTCTGAGTTTGGTTTTGGGCAAAATACAATACTTTCCTTTACTAAAGTAAAGGGAATAAAACTGCTTCATTATCTTACCTAATGTATACCACATTTTAACTTTGCATAATCTAACAGCTGCAGTTTGTCATTAGACACATGGATGTCTTGGGAAATAAGTGTAAGGGATTGCACAAAACTACTGGTCAGATCAGCGGAAAGACGAGTCCACTAATATAAAGAATGGAAACTATTATCGACAACAGAAACACACAATCTGAAATCATTACTGGTGTTGAATATTGATACAGATCCAGAACAATTTGTTGATATTCATTGGTTCACGTATCCTCACAAGAGGCTACATCTAAGATACATGTCATGGCATATTGTGGGACAAACAAAAACAGGTTAAAGGGCCTTTATGGAACTTTGAGTAATGTTGATTCTAGCAGTAGAATTCTCTCGCCACCACCAACTTGGCCAGCAGGACGTACCTTGCTTATTGCTTGCTTATAACCTGTCTCTGGTTATATGTGTACTCAACACATCAAGAAATAAGTACATAAAACATCACTGTGATTCATAACCATAAAGAAATTGGTGATATGATGTTGCTATTTGTTTGTATTTCTTTGCAATTAATCAACAAATAAAAGGAAACAGTGGATAAAAAAAATAGATCAAACCTGTGTGTTAATTTAGTTTTAAAAATGTACTCAAATGACTAATACATATTTAATACATTGTTAACGTAGGGGACCAACTGTATGAAATGAAACTTGATGCACAAGAGACTAATTGCTCTACAAAAAGATACTTTGAGAAAAAAATAAATTAGTTGATTTGCTTATAAAATGGTCTAATATTTCTAAATTCTTACTATTTTGATTGTGACCTGAATAATCCTGATTATAAGTGAACCTAAAAACCTTGACATCTGTATCTAGTCATGACAAGTATAGAATCTGTTGAAGAAGAACGAGCGTGCTGTAACTTTAGCCAGATGCCTCTGATCTAAGTGATTCTGACAGATCAGGATGCTGATGCTGAGCAGATTGATTGACAAGAATCTGCCTTGTCAAAGGTTCTCACATCTAGGTCACACTTCACTGTGGAATAAGTGTTAATGCTGTTGTGTTGTACTGTCTTCCACATTTTATTTTAAAACCAAAAGTTGTGTGCACTAATGAATGAAAAACACTAATGCTAATGCTATGGAAGTATTTTTTATTATTATTAATGTAACCTTTTGTTAACCTGGAGGTTCTTTGAGATATTTATTTTTGAGGGAGACGAGGCCAAAATACTGGCCATACATTGAATGGTCTCCCCAATATCTGGTACATATCTTATGTGTTACTCTATGTCATTATAAGATGAGTAAGGTGGCCTTTTTGTAATGTAGAGTGGAACAGCTGTCAATGCCTAAAATAAATCTGATTAAAATGCATCAGACAGATCAGGATGTTGATAAGACGAGATTGATTCTTGACCAGCACTTGTGCTGTCATAGGTTAACATCTATGTGGGCCACTGCCTTTGAGTAATCCCCTGAAGTGGGACATTAAGCTCATGTTTTTATGTGTGTGTCAGGGGTAACCTGTAATGTCTCCACTTGGACTACTAACAGCTATAATGTCATGTGCCTTTACTGATCTATGCCATCTTTGTGTCTTTCAGCCGTTTAACTGGCACCAGCCGGGCATGTCTCTCAATAAAAGGAAGCTGCTCCAGTCTCTAATGGGACCGTATGGGCCACTGAGTGTGTCGTACAACGGAAAAACATGCATTTTGTTCAAAGCAAAGCGCTTGGCAATTCGCTACAGAAATCACACGTTCATCGACCTGACTGAGAGGGTGTTTAACCCCAACTCACCAGTGGACACCAGAGGCTCCATCTGCACCAAGGAGAAAGCCACGTATGTATTCATGTAACATATGCAGTGGCGTAAAGTTTGAAACTGGACTCTGTGCAGGCAATACTACTTTGAATTATTCTTCAATGTAATTATTATATTTAAAACCCGCACAATACATGCTTCTATCATGTGTATCTTTGAACAAGATTAAGCCCCAGTTGTGATGCCTGAGAAGAAAACATACAAATGTAAAAAGATTAGTGTAGTCCCACTCCCGACTCCTGACAATCCATTAAATTGTATGAAGAACTAAGGCCATAATTGAATAAATCAGTCAATTAATCAATCAAACCAATGAAAATTGTTTGAATTAATATAACATATGAACTGACTTTGTTTTTACTAATGTTTTGTTTACGCAGACTTTCATTGAGGTTTGGAGATATAGAAGACTTGCGAGGCCTGATCATCAGGTAATATTCTTCTCTCACTACTATACTATAGAAACCCATAACTGACCATTTGTAATCCACAATTTCTATCTTTTGTACAGGCTTCAAATGTCTAATACTTTTTACGAGGCAGCAGGACAAAACTGGTTCACTTTAGACAGCGTCCACATTCACTATAACTGGACCCAGGAGGCCACTTTCAACGCCAGTGAAGTGTACGCCCCGGCCACGTCGTCGTACCACTGCCAACACGTCAGCAGTCTACACAAATACGACACTCTGCTTGTGCCCAGCTCCCACACAGACACTTCGGCTAACTGGCACATCACATTCACAGATTTCCAGGTACGACAACGCAATGTGGGAAGCACAGTTTATATCTGTGTCCTGGCCTCGCTGAGCACTGTAGGTTTTTACAAAAAACTCAGCTATACAGGTAGCTAAACACTCCCCCATCCATCCGCAAAGAAGCACTCCACTTGGTTCTTTAGCAGCTTTTAATGAGGAAAGTGTAAAACTGCAACACAGAGATACAGCATATGAATACAAAAACGCAATGTAAAATTACTAACTAGAATTTAAGATGTAAATAAATGTCAAACTAGTACTCTAATGTAAAGATAATTAGTTCAGTACTCACAGACGATGCCATTCTGTGCTTAAATCGAAGAAAAGATAACAAAAAATGGAGCTTGTGTTAGCCACGTTTCAGAGTGCTTTTCTGGTAAACAAGTTGCAATACCATTTCCAACCACCAGGTGGCCAACTCGGATTATCAAATAATTATAACATTGAACATGGCATCATTACATAAAAATGAACCAAAATACCCAGAGAAATAAACTCGTTCCATTACACTCCCCGCCTGGCGTCTTTAAGAGATGCCACAATATCAAATGTCCTTATCAAAAGATAACAGGAGAACAAGTTCTGTGATGGGTCGACTAAAAGTCTTCACAACTTGTTGTCGAACAACTTTCACATCCACTTTTCTTATCATACCATCCTTGCTGGGATATGTCTTCTCAACAAGACCCATGGGCCACTCGTTGCGCTTGGCATTTGTGTCCTTCAGAAGTACAATGTCTCCTACTTTGATGTTTGGTTTCTTTGCAAACCACTTTTGACGGCCTTGTAAGGTGCTGAGGTATTCTTTACGCCATCTTGTCCAAAAGGCGTCGGCCAAAAGTTGAACTCTCTTCCAATGGTTTTTGAAAATGTCTTTCTCTGTAAGGGTGTCTGGAACTGGAGGTGGAGCCCCTGTTTTCTGTGTCAGAAGCATTGCTGGAGTTAGGACCAGGGGGGCTTCTGGATCGGTGGAAACGGGTACCAAGGGCCTGGCATTTACTATGGCTGTGACTTCTGCCATAAATGTCACTAAAACCTCGTGAGTGAGTTGAGGCTGCTTGACATCGAGGAGTAAAGCATCCAAAATACGACGGGAAACCCCAATGATTCGCTCCCATGTCCCGTCCATGTGTGATGCGTGAGGTGGGTTAAACTCCCACACACATCTCTGTTCAGTGAGATAGGCACTGATTGTGGGGTCAACATGCTGCGGCGACATCTTAAGCTCATTGCATGCGCCAATAAAGTTGGTCCCTCTGTCGGACCGAAGTTGTTTTGCAGGGCCGCGAATAGAAAAGAATCTGCGCAGGGCATTGATGAAACACGATGCACTCATTGGGCCTCATTCACGAACGGTTCTTAGGAACAGATTTGTACGTAAATCCTACTTACGCGGTTTTTACGAAGAAAGTGGCATTCACGAATATTTCTCGTAACCAGAATTTGTCTTGGGCAAGTACAAATCCTACGAGTCCTCAGGAGCACTCGTACGCATTCAGTGCCGACATGTTCACATGCGGGGGTTGTCCTCTTTGGTGAAGTTGAATAAAAATACAACATTCCAGTGATATGTCCGTCATATCGATGTATGTATTTATTTATTTGTAGTAATCTTTATTAGTAATCTTTATTTATATACCGCCTTTTTCACTGCAGATCTGGCCTACTTTTTAATTCATTTTGAAATGAAATGTGCCAACGCTTTATACATTGGAAATCTTGCCGTGTATTAGTGACCCCTTCCTATTTATAGGGGGCATTTCTTTATTCACGGGCCACAGAACAACGGCATATATACTGCTGCTGCAGGAGGTTACTGGGTCCGCGCTGAGTCTCTGCGCTGGTCTCTCCTATGGATCTATACGGGTCTGCACTGGTCTCTCCCATGGATCTATACGGGTCTGCGCTGGTCTCTCCCATGGATCTATACGGGTCTGCACTGGTCTCTCCATACGGGTCCGTGCTGCATGCTCCTGGATCCTACGGGTCCGCGCTGGTCTCTCAAGTCTGGTCTATGCGGTCTCTCTTCGGTCCGCGCTGGTCTCTGCGCACCGGTCTCTCCAGTCAGGTCACTCCAGTCTATGCGGTCTCTCCTGTCCGCGCTGGTTTCTGTGTGCTGGTCACTCCAGTCTCTCCTCGGGTCTGCATTGGTCTCAGCGCTGGTCCGCGCTGGATCTCCTCCCAGGGTCCAAAATATTTTGAGATTAATCTCAAAACATTTTGAGATTCATCTTTAAAATAATACATAATATATTTTTAAATTAAGATCATAACATTTTGAGATTAATCTCATCATATTCTTAGATTAATCTCATAATTTTGCTAGTTCGACTTTATTATCATAATATTTCGACTTTTAAGTCAACATTTTATAACTTTATTCTCAGTCTGGCAAAAGCCTGCTTTAGGCCTGTTGCTGTTTCCTCTGGCGTCTGCACACGGCCCTGCAGTCCCTTATATGGGCATTAGTGGGCGGTTACTTATGCTAAGTACCTATGCTAATGAAGCACCTGGCACGCGCGCTGTACTTACGAGGAAATGGGATTCATCAATCTGAGAGAACAGCTGCGAACAATTCAGCGGCTTACGAGTGCGTTGATGAATCCCACGTGGGGACTTCCTAGAAATCTACTTAAGGACAACTTGAGAAGAAAGTTGAGTAGTTTCTTACGTAGTTATTCGTGAATGAGGCCCATTGTTTCTAATACCTCGATGTGGATGGCCCTGGTGGACATACATGTGAACAACACAGCCCACCTCTTGTTGTTGATTTGTCCTCCTCTTGTACGTCTCGTTACGATCTCCCATGGGCCAAAGACATCACAGCCCACATATGAGAATGGAGGATCCATCTTGAGCCTTTCTTCAGGAAGGTCAGACATGAGCTGCTGTTCAGAGCATCCACGGAGCTTTCTGCAACAAACACACTTGTGAATGACTGTGCTTATGAGTCGTTTACCTCCAACCAACCACAGGCCACTACTGCGTATTGCTCCTTCTGTGAGATGCCGTCCTTGGTGCTTTACGCTCTCGTGGTGATGGCGCACCAGCAGAGTTGCCATGTGATGTTTGTTTGGGATTATGACAGGATTTGCTTCATTCTTTTGTAGCAGGGAACCGACCTCCTACTCTCAGAAGACCTTCATTGTCAATAAACGGATTCAGTTTGAGAATTGGACTGTTCTTGGGAAGATTTTGGGCATTGCTGATAGCCGAAAGCTCTTGGGAATAGCACTCTTGTTGTACTATACGAAATATAGTACGCTCCGCTCTGTCCAAATCAGAAGGTGAAATGTTATTACAGTAATGCCAGCCAAAGCAAGTATCACTGTCCTTGTGAGTGAAGCTGCGAGTGATATGGATGAGTCTGGCAACTGCGGTCACGAGGGATTTCCAGTTTGAGAAGCGTTCAAAGCGGTTTGAAAACAGTTCAAGCTTTGAGGTGCCAGGTAACACATTTGTGGAGTTCGCTCTGACCTCTGTATCCTCATCTGGATTAACAAGCACATACTTTTCTTCTGAACAGAGTTTTGTTGCGTCAGAATCTGTGAGGAATTTTGGTACTGTTAGCCAGAGAGTATTCACTAGCTCATTTGCAGCGACTGATCTTGAGCCACAATCTGCCGGATTGAGGTCTGTGGGCACAAATCCCCACTGTTCGGGTAGGGATATTTGTCTGATGCGCTGCACTCTGTTACTGACAAAGACGTAAAATCTTCTTTTCTCATTGTGAATGTAGCCTAATACTACCTTGCTATCAGTGAAATACCTGACTGCATCTAGTTTCAAGTCAAGTTCATGAATGACAGTTTCAGCAACTTCCACTGCTAGAACAGCTGCACATAGCTCTAATCTAGGGACAGTCAGTTCAGGCTGCGGAGCAAGTTTTGCTTTGCCTAAGACAAACCCAACTTCCCGATGGTCATCCTCATGAGTGACTCTCAAGTATACAACAGCTGAAATTGCACGCACTGATGCATCAGAGAAAACACAAAGCTCTGTTCTCTTTGCTTGTGGTACTGAGAATGAGGCATATGTTCTTTGAATATGTAGATCTTTGAGAACACAAAGGGATTCTTGCCACATTCTCCATTCCTCATATTAGGTTTGAGGCAGAGGCGCATCCCAGTCAACATTGTCAGAAGTAATGCCTCGAAGGATCATTCTTCCTTTGATTGTGATTGGTGCTAGAAAGCCCAGGGGGTCGAATAAACTATTCACTGTTGATAGCACGCCTCTTCTTGTAAATGGCTTAGGCTTCTCAGGGACCTTGAATGTGAAAGTATCCGTCATGATATTCCAAATGACCCCAAGACTACGCTGTACAGGAAGGTCGTCAGCAAACAGATTCAAGTGTTTAATATCCTTGGCTCTGTCTTCAGCAGGGAAGTGGTTCATGAACTTCACACTGTTTGACGCTATTCTGTGTAGCCGCAAGTTAAAAATGGCTAACAGTTCTTGAAGCTGTTCCACGGTATTGAAAGCTTCTGTATCAGATGTGAATGACAGCAACGCATCGTCCATGTAAAAATGTCTTTTCACTAAGTCTGTTATCTTGCTGTCATAGACACTCTCCATCTCCTTTGCCGCCCTCCTCAGTCCGTAAATGGCGATGGCGGGTGATGGACTGTTTCCAAATATATGGACTCTCATGCGGTATTCGACAACCTCATTGTCTGGGTGATTGTCGCGGTACCACAGAAACCGTAGCATGTCTCTGCATTCTTCTTTAACCACAAAGCAGTGGAACATTTGTTCTATGTCCGCTAGAACTCCAATGGGCCCTTTTCTGAATCTTAAAAGAACTCCAAGCAGGCTGTTGTTTAAGTCTGGACCCTGCAGCAAAACATCATTTAGCGAAACACCATGGTACTGTGCAGATGAATCAAACACAACACGTATTTGGTTAGGTTTTTGCGGATGGTAAACTCCGAAGCTGGGCAAATACCATCTTTCCTTTCCTTCTTTGAGTTGTGGCGCAAGCTCAGCATGATTATTATCAAACAATCTCTGCATGAACTCAAAGTAGTGCTTTTTCATCTCAGGTTTTTTCTGAAGAGTCCGCTCCAGTGATGTAAATCGCCTCTCAGCATATTCTCTGTTATTGGGAAGCTTGCAACGAGGGTTCCGGAATGGTAAGGGCGCGACCCAGCTATTTGAATCATCCTGATAAAAGTCTGTTTCCATTATTTCCAAAAAGTTGTTATCTTCGATAGAAGGAGCTAGCTGGTGGTCGTGGATTGTTCTGGAAAAGACTGAAGAAGTGTCTGTAGTCTCTCCATATAAGTCTGTTACTTTGATTTTGTTCTCACACTTCGAAAATGTAGTGGGTCTCCCATTTTCAGATATGCATGTTTTCATAGTATTTACTGCTGGTGGTCCATGCATGCCATTGACACAGACATCACCGACTACCACCCAACCAAGATCCAGTTTTTGTGCGAATGGTTCATTGTTGATCCCATTTATTTGTTTTCGTACTTTGTGCACTCTTAACAGATCTCTTCCAATCAGAATCAGAATCTCGGCGTTGGGATCGAGAGGAGCAATTTCTGGAGCTATTTTCCTCAAATGCCTGTGATGATAGGCTGCTTCAGGTGTCGGGATTTCTTTCCTGTTGTTGGGGAGATTGTCACATTCGATCAGAGTTGGGAGCTGGAGACATGTTTCCTTGTCCAATGACTCTATGACATAACCATGGGCTCTTCTTCCTGATGCCCACATTGCACCCATACATGTTGTTATGTTGTACGGGGCCTCAGTGCCATGAATGTTAAACATGTCAAAAAATTCACTACGAGCCAAAGAGAGGTTGCTCTGGTCATCTAGAACAACATACATCCTCTTACACTTTTCCTGCTGGCCAGAGGGATACACATTAACCAGAGTAATCTTTGAGCATGACTTGCCGCTTCCTTCTGTACCACAGACTTTAGTGCAGTTTGATGTGAACTCGGTTTTAGTTCCTTCCTCCCCGCCGTCCTCTTTGCACGGTGGAGGCTGACTTGGGGTTTGACTGGCGCTTATCCCACTGAAATGCATGGCGCTGACGTGTTTTTCACTTCCACATTCCAAACATTTGATGGGAGCCTGACAATATTTTGCCATATGAGAAGTAGGGGCGACAGTGGCTCAGTTGGTAGAGCATTGGCCTTTGGGCCTGAAGGTCGTGGGTTCAAGCCCACCATAAGACCTACTTCACGACTCCCAATGATGTCTGCTGTCGTTGTGTCCTTGGGCAAGACACTTAACCCCACTTTGCCTGAAGCTCCGACTGAAAGATCTCAGCTCCTGTGGACTCACCACCTGCAGGAGGATCAGTGAGGGGCTGGTGCTAAGTGTACTGGGTGCAGCTCTGACTGCCACCCCCCCGACCCAGAAATGGATTAAGGGGAAGAAGATGGATGGATGGATGGAGAAGTTGAAGCACAGCAGCGATAACAAATCATGTATTCTTTGAGAAGTTGTTTGCGTTCATCAAGAGTCATTTTAACAAATCCTCTGCACTTACTTAGGGGGTGAGGCTTGTTATGTATGGGGCATTGTTTTTCCGGGTTAACATAACTTTTATCTCCTCGTTTCAAAGATGAACTTGTAGTTTGTTCAACGTTTGTTTTATTGACAGACACAGGATGTTTGACTGGTCCAAACCTTTCTTTCCGCTGTGGCAGAGTAGCGGTTGAAACAAGTTTGAAACTAGGATCATTCCTTACCTCAGCTTCTGTGCAAATGAAATCTTTAAAGAAGGAGAATGGTGGAAAATGCACATTATAGTCTCTTTTGAACTTGGAGCCACACGACATCCAGCGTTCCTGAAGTGGGAATGGCAGTTTCTCCACGATTGGTTGCACGCCTCTAGCAGTGTCCAAATAGGCTAACCCACACAACTTGCTATTTTGTTTAGCAATCAGAAGCTCTTGGAGAAGATCCGCTAATTCCTAAAGTTTGCGGCCATCTCTGGACTGGATTTTTGGAAAGGCCTCAATTCTGGAGAAGAGAGCATTTTCAATTGCCTCTGGGGAGCCATATGTCTTATCAAGTCTTGACCATATTGCTTTCAATCCATTCATTGGCTGATCAACATTTACTGCTCGTATTCTGGCTGCATGCTCACTGGACTCTTTACCCAGCCATTTCACCATCAGATCAATCTCTTCACTAGGTGACAATCCTAGTGGCTCTATAGCACTGATGAATGAAGCTCGCCATGCTTGATAATGTTCTGGAGTGTCATCGAATGTTTTAAGGCCAGATGTTATAACTTGGTTGCGTGCTAAAAATCTTGCAAGATCAATTGTGTAGTTCCCTGGAACGATAGTGTTAGGAGAAGCTGTTTGAATCGGAGGTACATTACTGTTGTATATCACTTCCTCTTTCGTAGGGCTTAAGCTGAAGATAGGAGGTTGTTTGTAAATCTCTCCTGTCCTGTCCAGTGTATGCACAGAGAGAGGCGTAAACTCATCTAATACAGTGTATTAGATGAGTTTACTGTTGTATGTTGTTAGCGGCAGGCTGAGAAACATAAGGGCGTGAGGCTGTCTTTTCATCCCTGTACATGTACTGACTGAAGTTAGTTGACTGTTCTTTAACATAGTCTTCTGTCCTTTTCAGTGTGTCCAAATGTGCAGTGGTCAGATCTGATGTCTCACTGTATTTTTCTCCCTCTATGTCTGCAGCAGCTGCTTCTAGTACTTGTGCCTCTGCATATGCAACTTTGACTTCCCTTTGTAGACTGAGAGAACGTAATGAAGCTTCAAGTTTTGCTTTCTCAATCTGAATGTTGTTTTCCTTTTCCAAGAACTCTAATTTAGCTTTAGCCGCTTCAGCCTTAGCTCTAGCTTTAGCTGCAGCTAAACTGACTGTAGAACACACAGATGAACTTGACGATGTGCGTGAGACTTTAGAGCGGATAGTGTACGCTTGGCTTGGCTGTAGAGTCTTTCTTTGACTGTGGTTTCTGTGTGTCACCTTCCTTTTGTCCTTTGTCTTTGTCGTCCATGGTTCACAAGACGTTTCTTTTCCTTGTAGCTTTAGCATGGAGCGTCTTTTTACTGTCCTGGCCTCGCTGAGCACTGTAGGTTTTTACAAAAAACTCAGCTATACAGGTAGCTAAACACTCCCCCATCCATCCGCAAAGAAGCACTCCACTTGGTTCTTTAGCAGCTTTTAATGAGGAAAGTATAAAACTGCAACACAGAGATACAGCATATGAATACAAAAACGCAATGTAAAATTACTAACTAGAATTTAAGATGTAAATAAATGTCAAACTAGTACTCTAATGTAAAGATAATTAGTTCAGTACTCACAGACGATGCCATTCTGTGCTTAAATCGAAGAAAAGATAACAAAAAATGGAGCTTGTGCTAGCCACGTTTCAGAGTGCTTTTCTGGTAAACAAGTTGCAATACCATTTCCAACCACCAGGTGGCCAACTCGGATTATCAAATAATTATAACATTGAACATGGCATCATTACATAAAAATGAACCAAAATACCCAGAGAAATAAACGTTCCATTACAATCTGCATTGCATACATGCAATAACAACAGGATCTCAACATAGACTAAGAATAACTGCTGTGACAACACATTATAATGGAATCAGTGCGAAACTATTGACTGAATCCAAACATTTTTAGGGCATGGCGCTCAGTCTGTCTGTTACCGTCTGTTTGGCAAGTTTTCAATCTATCTTATGAGCCATCTGCCGCCGCCTGTCCTTCCCCCTCAACATCCTGAGCTACTGAAAAGCCTCTCAAAGCTAGTTGTCCTCCGTATGTCTCACGTTACCTTGTCCTATTTCAGATCCAGGCCTTCAACGTTCAGTCGGACAAGTTTGCATCGGCCAGTGATTGTGCCACCTTCCTGACGCCGGCCATTTTGATGGGTTTGGTAACCTCACTGATCCTGCTGCTGGTTCTGGCGTACGCTCTGCACATGGTGGTTCACCTCAAGCACATTGACCGCTATGAGGAACACAAAGCAACGGTGTACTTTCCCCGCAGTCCAGAGGCGGAATTACCAGACAAGAACAGTCTGTGAGAGCAGCTGGGGGTGATAAGGAAAAACCAAAAGAAAAGAGGTGGAGAGCCAAGTTAATGACAGTGAGTCAATACATGAAGGAAAAGTATCAACCACACATTTTCATGTTCACAGAAAAATGTCACAAAACCAGGGTTGGATACTTTTCTTTTTATTATTGACCTGAATTTTGGCATCCTAATCATAAAAGGCCTTTGGATGCTCAGAACTCCCGAGATGGTTTGAGATCCTCACGTCAAGGACAATCGCAGGGTCCCGGAGGACACACTTTGGCCTTTTCCCCAGCCAGGAATAAATACAACAGAGATGCAGTCAGCATCCAATCTGCAACAAGCTTCAGACTTACAAGGTTGTTCCAGCTTTTATTCCATTATTCTTTTATAATACCTCTGCAAGTAATATATACAAGCAGTCACGTTTAGAGCCATAGTAGCTGCATGACTAAAGAGCTAGTCTTGTAGGCTCGCTCTGTGTTTCATAAAGTTCACCTCTGGAATTCATGCATGAGTTGCAGCTTAAAATAAATTTGGCACAAACATGGAGTGAGCTTGACAAGCTTTGAAGCAGAAGAGGGGAACTATCCGGAAGTGCAGCTCAATCATCTGGCTGAAGTGAATGGACCAGATTCTCCTGGCACCAAGCACCCCTGGACAGGACTGTTGGACTAACTGCAAAACGGCCTTTTACAGAACCGCCAAGAAAAGGGGTTTTAGCACAACATTTGTTAGTTGCAGATGCACTAACTATAGACTTTTAAAGACAATTTATTGAACTATAATGCACAAGATGCCTGAGAGAGGGCATGACTTTGAACATACCTTTTGGACAATTGGGCTCTGTAAGAGCCACACAGTGGACAATGGAGGCCTAGGGCCTGCAATTCATGCCACTAATTGAAGCTAGAAAGAAGTTGCCATAAATTATGGAATACATAAAATAATGTGAAATAATGCTAAGTGTTGAAGCTACATGTACAAAACAAAAAAGTGTACAGAAGTGTCACTCTGCGGAGGTCTTTTTTATATTCAAAGTAATCATTAAGTATTAATTAAGTACAGGATGACTATGCTAATCCTCATAACCAAAAGGATATACAAAGCTGTAGATACATTAGATCTCTATACGATCATAGCCGTCTACTATCTTTAATTATTGCACAAATAATACACTTAGGTACCAGTAAGATTGTGTTATGAGGATTGGTCAAAGGATCAGTACTGATACATTTTTCTAAAACATGTTACATGTGTGTCTATTTGCTTTAAACTGAGCCCTGCAGGTTCAGTGTCACCTGACTGTAAATTACAGTACAAACTTAACATAGTGAACGATCCTGGAATGCTGTCCACCCTCTGGACTTTAGATCCATTAGTTCAGACCACACAAGACGCAGTACCATCAGTATGCCATTACTACTGAGAAAACACAGCATGACAGTAAATAGATATCTTATGGCAGTTCTGTCAATCTGTAGCAGTGTGAAATGTGTTCTATGGTCATAAATGTATTTTGCAAACTATGAACTGAGTGTAGGGGGTTTGTCCAAGGACCAACTGATGCTGAGTGAACAATAAATGAGGTTCAGACAAAATGGGTTGATTACTTTATGGTGAACTATTCTTCTAATCCTGTCACCTGTCCACCTGACACACACTGTTCTTGTTAGAAGACAGCCAAATGTGCCTGCAATAATGTGATAATGGCCTTTAGTATGCTATGCATAGGCTCCTCACACTCTATGCTCTCCACACTGCCCGCCTATGAGGACATCTAGTGGTGCAAGATGTCACTACAGCTGTAGTTGCTGCTGCAGATGCGACAACACAACATGACCACGCGCACACCATGGATCAGCAGCAAGACCACGTGCTCGGACCAACCGACTACAGGTAAACAGAAAGCATCAAATTAGGCCTGTAGCTAACGATTACTTTTAATCATCGATTTATCTAGCGACTATTCTCCCGATTGATCGAGTTGTTACGATGAGACTATGGTACTTGATTTCAATTTTACGCGTAGGAAGCTTAAGTTAACCGATGGAGGACAAAACGGTTTTTTGAGTAATTTACTGTTTGAGTTCAAAAGCATACACATGTGTTCGAGTCTGTGGTAACGAATTGACGTAGCGTTATAGTATATCTAAAAATAAGTAATACAACTCAACGTGTTTCTATTAATAGAGTAATCGTTACTGTAATGATAGGCATACTATTGAGTTACCACAAGGTGGCAGTATAGCCTTGTAGATACGCTGTTCAAGAGGAGACCACGTTGTTCACGTTGTTAATAAAAACAATAAATAGCTGGCAGCTCACAGAAGCTACAACCACAAATGTTCATGAGTGACTTCTTGAATAACAGAAGGCAGAACATTACATGGTACCAGGTCGCGGGTCAAGAAAAGAACTGATGCAAGATGGACGCAGTAAAACCACCAGCTCCGCTGAAAATGACGGGGAATGTGGACGCGAAGTGGCGAACCTTCAAGCAGCAATTTCAGCTCTACATTGCCGCAGTCGGAGTGGATCGTCGGGCGGACGAAAGAAAAATAGCCCTTTTGCTAACCATTGCCGGAGCGGAGGCTATTGAACTTTTCAACACGTTTGTATATGATCAACCCGATGATAAAGACAAGTTTGAGGAGGTCCTGAAGAAATTTGACGAACACTGTCTCTCAAAGAAAAATGAAACTTATGAGAGATATGTATTTCGTTCTCGTCTCCAACAGCCTGGTGAGTCGTTCGATAATTATCTCACCGATCTCAAAATAAAAGCTCAGTCCTGCAACTTTGGTGATCTAAAAAACTCAATGATAAGAGATCAGGTTGTATTTGGGACGAATGAAAAGAAGCTAAGAGAAAAGCTGTTGAGGGAAGCGGATCTCACACTGGAAAGTGCAATAAAAATATGTCAAGCTAACGAACTAGCAAAGCAACATGCACTTACTTTTCAAGCGGCGCCATATGATCAAGAAAGCGAGTCCGTGAACGCAGTGATAATGAAAAGAAAATCACGGTTTAAGTTCAAACAAAAAGACAAAAATAGAGATGACGATCAAACACAGTTTGACTGTAAGAAGTGTGGTGAGACGCACGGACCGAGACAATGCCCTGCATTTGGGAAAACATGTGCAAAGTGTAAAAAGCAAAATCACTATGCGAAAATGTGCCATACCAGAAAAAAGATACACACAGTACAGGAAGACTCAGATGACAGTGATGATTTGAGTGAGACATTTTTCATCAAAATGGTGTCGTGTGAGAAAAACTATGTGCAGCCCCGAAATACAAGTGACACAGAGCATACTGTACGTGCAGTAAAAGATGACAAATGGACTGCACCTCTGTTAGTCAACGGGACACTAGTAACCTTCAAAATTGACACCGGAGCCAAAGCCAACCTGATCAATGAAAGTGATCTGAAAGCTCTTGCAGAGAAACCAAAACGAGTTACAGACAAGGCAATGTCATTAAAAGCGTACAACAATCAGCCAATAAAAACTATGGGTGGTTGTAGGCTCAAAGTCACTGTAAAAGGAAGCCAACACAACTTGATGTTTACAATAGTGCCAAGTGGACACGAGTCGATACTTGGAGACAAAGCATCTGAAGATCTTGGACTAATCAAGAGGATCTACCAAATCAACAGTGAAAACATAAAAATAGACAATCCAATCAAAAGACTCTCGCAAAGTGAAGGTAGCACAAGTGTAGTGAACAAATACCCTAACGTCTTTAAAGGACATGGTACACTGCCTTACACTTACAAAATACAGCTCAAGGAAGATGCTAAACCTGTAGTGCATGCCCCAAGGAGAGTGCCAGCACCGCTCAAAGCAGGACTTAAAAAGGAGCTGAACAGAATGACACAGATGGGAGTCATTGAGCGAGTGGAAGAGCCCACAGACTGGGTTAATTCCATCACGTGTGTTAAAAAACGAAACTCCCCTGAGTTACGTGTCTGCCTAGATCCTAAAGATTTGAATGAAAACATTAAAAGAGAACATTATCAAATCCCCAAGCGTGAAGAAATCCTGAGTGACATGGCTGGTGCTAAGTACTTCAGCAAACTAGATGCCTCGCATGGATTTTGGCAGCTGAAACTGGACCCAGAAAGCAGCAGGTACACCACCTTTAACACACCATTTGGGCGTTACTGTTTTCTGAGGCTTCCATTTGGCATTAAGTCAGCGCCAGAGATCTTTCACAGAGCTATGGAGTCAATCATAGAGGGTCTAGAAGGAACACGAGTGTACATTGATGACTTAGTTGTCTGGGGAAACACAAAACAACAACATGATGAGAGACTTGAGAAGTTGTTACGGAGAGTGAAAAAGTACGGACTAAAACTAAAAAGAGAGAAATGTCTTTTTGGAGTGACAGAAATGACATTTTTGGGAGACAAGCTCACAGCAGATGGTGTGCTCCCTGACAAAACAAAAGTGCAAGCCATACTGGACATGCCGGCTCCAACTGATAAAAAAGGAGTTTTGCGGGCTATGGGGATGGTTAACTTTTTGGGTAAGTTCATTCCCAACCTCTCCTCAAAGACTAAATGCCTCAGAGAACTGCTACATCACAACATGGCATTTGAGTGGACAACAAAACATGAAAAAGAATGGAAAGAACTGAAGAGATCTGTGACTGCTGAACCAGTCTTAACCTACTTTGATCCAACAAAACCAACCAAAATCTCCACTGATGCTTCAAAAGACGGACTAGGAGCCGTATTGCTACAAGTGAATGAAGAAAAATGGCAACCTGTGGCATATGCATCTAGATCAATGACAGAGACTGAACAACGCTATGCTCAGATTGAAAAGGAGACGCTGGGCCTAGTGTTTGGGTGTGGGAAGTTTCACACTTATGTTTATGGACTGCCCACATTCACAGCAGAAACTGATCATAAACCACTCATATCAATCCGTAAAAAGAATCTCAATGACATGTCGCCCAGAATCCAACGCATGATGTTAACATTGCAGCGCTATGACTTTG